AATAATTTGAGGACAGAGCTCTGGGTTAGGTTACCCCAATGCAATGCAAAAATTAAATTTATAATATTTTACTAAATATTTTTCAAGACACTTCTATACAGCTTAAAGTGACATTTAAAGGCTTAAGTAGGTTAATCAGGTTAACTAGGCAAGTTAGGGTAATTAGGCAAGTTATTGTATTACAATGGTTTATTCTCTGGACTATCGAAAAAAATATAGCTTAAAGGGACTAATAATATTGACCTTAAATTTTCAAAAAATTAAAAACTGCTTTTATTTTAGCCGTAATAAAACAAAAAAGACTTTCTCCAGATGAAAAAAAAATATTTTCAGACAAACTGTGAAAATTTTCTTGCTCTGTTAAACATCATTTGGGAAATATTTTTAAATATTGTAAAAAATTCAAAGGGGCTTTAATAATTCAGATTTCAACTGTACACAACTGATATTAAAGGTGGAGTTTTGTGTAATTCGTCACTTGTCAATCATTCTACAGTCCTTTGGTGGTCGCACCCAAACATACTTCCTCTCTGCATACCAGAACTGCACAGTTAATTGCATTTTCAGTATAATTCACAACTTCTACAAGCATCCAGCTCCTTGTGATATGTCTAGACTTCTAGTTAGACAAAAGTCTGGAGCAAGCCAACCCCCAACTCTATTTTTATTCTTATTCTGCTATTTTCCTCTTGTCAGCAGTTCCTTCTTAGAAGTATGCAACACATTTAGAAAGATGAAGAATGTTTAGTTGATATATGGTATCATACAAAAGAAAAAGATTGATTGATCTGTTGTGAGTCTAAACATTTCTTTTCTAATAAAAAATAAACAGACAAAAATAAAATAAATAAATAAATTCCCTTTTCCCTACAATTGTATTGTACTTATAAGCAAATGTAGCCTTGGTAAAATGTTATTAACCCCAAAAAATCAGCACAGTACATTAGGCATAATATAAAATGAGCCACCGATCAAGATGTTGTATCTGTACAATAAGTGACAAACCATTCGCTAATATATTCCCATCACAATGTTTTCAGATGTGCACATAAGAAACGAACACAGAGACACTGTGACTTTCATGCCTGTCAAGCCATTTTGCCTCAGCTGTAGCTCAGACACACCACTGGGAGTCTGTAAGAGTAATGAGCGTAAAGAACTGAAGGAAAGCGGAATTACCACACTTTTTTTTTTCTCTCCCTCACTCGTTCTCTCATAACCTTCACAGAGGACATACTAGAATACCAAATGCCAACACCTCTGTCTGTAGCTGCTTGCTGAATGAGTTTGTTAAATGTGAATATGTGTGTTTCTATCCATCTTTTTCCTTTGCTCTATGATGGTTTGATGGTTTGTTAAACTGTAAACAATGAAGTGTCATTTCTCCACACAGCTCATCCATCAAATGTAAATTACACTCAAAAAGATAATGTTTGTTGTTTGTTCAAACTACTTATTTATTTGAGCTGAAACAACATAATTCTTGAGTTTTTTATGCAAAACTTAATTTTTACCTTCAATCCACTTAGGTTTATAAAAATTAATAAATCAACTAAAATTCCTTCATGTTTTCCAAACGCAAATTGATTGTGTAGTGCCCTGTATTTTTACAGTCTATAACATTTAACAATTTAATAGTTACCTACTCATTCCTGGCCTCTTCTACCTTGTGATGTAGAGGCTGAACGATGTTTCCACCACCTTTTTCTGTCTATAGCCACTGTTCTGGCGCAGCTTTGGTCTACTTCTCTCTTTTGGAATGCTGGGTTAAGTGAGTCCATCCATTTCATTCAAGGCCTGCAAATCTGTTGTTCCTGCTGCTAGTAAATGCCCAAGACTCGCACCGATAGATAAGAGTAGGCACATAGGAGGAGTTCTAGACCGCTAGCTTTGTTCTGGTGGAGATTTCTCTCTTTCCTTGAAAGGCTCTGCTTAAAGCATCACATAATCTGCTAGATACGGTGACCCTCGCTTTGTTCCAAGATAGTTGAACTCTCCACTTGCTTCAAGACAATGCTGTCTAGCTTTATGGAGTGTTGGACATGTTTTTTTTTTTTGCCTATGAGGGCTGATTATGTTCCCTTGTCTGACTCCAGATGTGGTGAGGAACTCCTCCGAGGATAAGTTTCCTGTTCTCAAGTAGTTTCTGCAGCATTTGTAGAAACTTTGTATTCTCTTTATCAGAGGTTCTTTGACATCACGCTTTCTGAGAACCTTCCACAGCTCTGGCCACTGTAAACTGTCAAACGTCTATAAGGTCTATGAAGTCTACATGAGTTTCCTTTCCATATTCCAATGTCTTCTCAGATAGTTGTCTCATTGTAAATATAAGATCTTGGGTTCCACGGTTAGTTCTGAAGCCACACTGTTCTTCTTCTTATAAATGCTCCACTTAAGCAGTTAGACGCTCAGTTAGAATCCTCCAGTATATTTTTCCTGGCATACTCAATATGATATACCTTGATGATTTTGACATGCTCGATTGTCTTCCTTCTTAAAGATAGGAGTTATGACTGCAACTTCCCAATCTTTTGGGATTCTAGCTTGTTTCCATGCCAAGTTAATCATGTTTAGCAGAAGGTTGGTGCCATCTTCTCCCATATATTTCAGCATTTTTGGGGCTACTGCATGTCCAGCTGCCTTTCCCAACTTCATTTTCCTGAGAGCTTTCTTTATTTTATTCAAAGTTATTCCTCTTGTATCTTCTTCTGTTATAATCTTATCTGCAAGGATGTTGTAACATCGCTATTCTTTGGCTCCATATTTAACAGGTCAAAGAAGTACTCTCACCAATGGCCATTATTCATTTTGTCCTCTCTTAGGACTTTTTTTTTTTTTTACATTTTATTACAATTAACAAATTACAGAGCTTAATTAATCCCTCATAGAAATGAGACTTGCTTTAGCACAATTACAAATGTGTTTAATATTAGTGCACTGTAATGGTGTAAAATAATGTTGAGGAATTAAACACATCTACCAAAAGAGCTTTGCTCGCTGATATGTTTGTAATATTAATGCCAAGTGTAACGTTATTTTCATAAAGAATAAGAAAAGCACAAAGCCAAATGTACCTCTTCTGTGCAACCAATAATTTAAAATGCAGCCATCATGTAAGGAAAAAGTTGGATAATTTATGCAGGCATTTTTTAAATAATGTAATATCTATATGCCACTACTGCTTTCCTTTCTTGCACAGGAAAGAATCATGTTTGCAAATTCATTGGATGTGGAAGAAACGACAAGTTCAATTATGTTGTCATGCAGCTGCAGGTACATTATTTATTTAGTCTTCGCTCATGTTTTATGTGTGTCTCAAAGAAAGTGCAGCTGATTGTGTCTTTGCTTAGGGGAGGAATCTTGCTGATCTCAGGAGGAGTCAGCCTAGGGGGACATTTAGCATGAGCACCACGCTACGGTTGGGGAAACAGATCCTTGAGTCCATTGAAGCCATTCACTCTGTGGGCTTCCTGCACCGAGACATTAAACCTGTGCGTCTCACTCTTAGTTTCATTTTTTTTTTTCTCATTCCAAGTCAGTTTATATTGGCTTCTGTTAGCTGATGCTGGTCTTTCTTTCTTTCTATCCTCAGTCTAATTTCGCTATGGGTCGGTTGCCGTCAACTTGTAGGAAGTGTTACATGCTGGATTTTGGTTTGGCACGACAGTACACAAATACAAATGGGGAGGTGCGGCCGGTAAGTTCATTTCCAAGTTCATCATTTTGCAGTGTAGTTGTCTTTGTCTATATTTATCTAGTTAAATATTATTTGTGTTTATTTTGAAATGTTTTTTAGTTGTAATAGCAGACAGCATCGCCTAATAAACAGCATTTTCACATTTCTGTTTCTTGCATGTGCAATTTTTATGTTTTACAGTTATGTTGCAGAGGTTATTCATAGGGATGCATAAATATTACATTTTCATGTAATAATATTTCCAACATTAAATAATAAAACATATGAAAAAAAAGTGATCTTACTAAACTTCACTATATTTTAAATGATTCAAAACCTCCCGCTTTGAATGTTATCACTCGATTAAATGGCCATTATCAGTGGTTATCAGCTGATAGATATGGACCAGTAGGGGCCTTCTGTGCTTACTGGTTGGCTCAGAAGGCTGTTATCATCTATCCACATGGTTAATCAGCTATACTAATAGAGAAGACTCTAGATCCAGATCTGTTATTTATATAACTTTGATGGTTTGGTTTAGGGTTGGGGTAGGGGTAGATATTAATAAAAATCAATTAATGGGAAATTTAATAAATAATATAAATCGTTTTCGTTAACTTCTGGCTGCAGCCGTATATGATCTATAGCTGATTAACCATGTGAATGAATGATAACAGAAATTCCCTACTAGCCCATATCTATCAAGGTAAGGCAAGGCAAGTTTATTTATTTAGCACATTTCATACACAATGCTAATTCAAATTGTTTTACATAAACAAGAATAAACGAAACAAGAAAATAAAGACTAAAATAATTAAAAATAATTAAAACAGATTAAAATCTGTTAAAACGAGTTATAAAAGAATGGAAAAGAAAAGAAAGACATAATAGTGTAATCTGTTGAATGTAGCATAGTGCTCATTCAGTAAAGGCACAGCTAAACAGTTTTGATTTGAAGGTGCCTAATGTTGGAGCACATCTGATCATTTCTGGAAGCTGATTCCAGCAGTGAAGGGTGTAGTAGCTGAAGGTCGATTCACCCTGCTTTGACTGAACCCTTGGAATGTCTTATTCATTTGATCCTAATAACCTGAGTGATCTGTTAGGTTTGTATTCAGTGAGCATATCTGTTATATATTGAGGTGCTAGGCCATTTAGTGATTTACAGACATGTAGTAATACTTTAAAATCTGTATGTAACTGGGAGCCAGTATAAAGACCTGAAGACAGGTGTGATGTGCTCTGATTTTCTGGTTCTGGATGAGCTGCTTTTTGGAAAGGCCAATGAGGGGTCCATTACAGTCATAATGTATCAGCTGATAACCACTGAAAATGTCCATTCAATCAAGTGATAACATTCAAGTCGGCTGTTCAAAACTTGGATAGTGGCATATAATATGAAGGCTTAATGGAACAATGATATCGTTTTTTTAGTACTTCACTATATTTTGGCTTATGCAGTATTTTCTGTTCATTTTCGATGAAACTTTTTTCTGTGAATCTTTTTTTATAGTTTACATTACAGTGATTTAAATGTAAAAATGTATTCCATACTCACCTACACCTATATATTTAAAAACATTTTTAATATCAGCCAATAACTGATATGTTACAAAGAGTCATGCATCCCTATTTATTATTATTATTTGTGTTTCTTTCTCTACTGAGTTTTATTATTTATGTGTTTAAATTCATTTTTCTGTTTCACTTTTCTCAGTTTTGTTTTGCAGTTGAGTTTTGGCTCTCATGTTGAATCGCATGCTTCCCCGCCAAAGATGTTTGTCCCTGTTACCATAGCGACAGTCATATTGTGAGTTCTCCAATATCATGGAAAAATTCCTCTTTTTTTTACCTCTTAAAAATTACCCACCGTTCTTTAATAGATATTTAAAGTTAAAGGGATAATTCACACAAAAATGAAAATGTATGCACCCTTCTCTTATTCCAAACCTTCTTCTGTTGAACTCAAATGAAAATATTTTTAATAATGTGGAAATACAGTAGCCATTGACCTACAGTTGAAGTCAGAATTATTAGCCCCCTTTTTATATATATATATTTTATATATATATATATATATATATATATATATATATATATATATATATATATATATATATATATATATATATATATATATATATATATATATATATATATATATATATATATATATATATATATATATATATATATATATATATATATATATATATATATATATATTTTTTTTTTTTTTTCCCAAATGATGTTTAACAGAGCAAGTAAATGTTTACAATATGTCTGATAATATTTTTTCTTCTGCAGAAAATCTTATTTGTTTTATTTCGGCTAGAATAAAAGCAGTTTTTAATTCTTTAAACACCATTTTAGGGACAAAAATAATAAGCCCCCTTAAGCTATATTTTTTTCGATAGTCTACAGAACAAACCATCATCATACAATAACTTGCCTAATTACCCTATGCTGCCTAGTTAACCTAATTAAACTAGTTAAGCCTTTAAATGTCACTTTAATCTGTAAAGTGTCTTGAAACATATCTAGTTAAATATGATGTACTGTTATCATGGAAAAGATAAAATAAATCAGTTATTAGAAATGAGTTATTAAAACTATTATGTTTAGAAATGTGTTGAAAAAATTGTCTCTCATTAAACAGAAATTGGGGAAAAAAATAAACAGTGGGGTTAATAATTCAGGAGGCTAATCATTCTGACTTCAACTGTACATAATATTTTTAAATCCTAATGTAGATAGTTACCAGTTACAACATTTTTTGTTGTGTTCAACAGAACAATAAGCATATTTTAATAAGCATTTTTTGTATGTACTTTTCCTTTAAATTTTAAACTCTGATTCTTGTCCCAACTCGAAAAAAATCAACACCCCTGTTGTAGCATTCATTATAAATAAAATAACTGTGGACCTGAATATATGAAAGAGACAATTAATTGTGATTTAATCAGGCCAGGAATCCCAAAACTGGTCAAAAGGCATTAAAAAGCAGCTGAAACATACAGAATTCCTGTCGCTATACCCTTTCTTATATTTCCTTCCCATGGTTGCCTTGTTTTGATTATGTGCTCTTTTTCCAGCCTAAGTATAAAAAGTATCAAATGAAAGTGATGTGAATCCTTATTATGAGACTCTTTCAAATATTCTGCTTTAGCCCAGGTCAGTGGCTGGGTTCAGAGGAACGGTGCGATACGCTTCCATTAATGCTCATAAAAACAAGGTAAGTGCAGTCTAAAGTCTAGCATGCACAAAAAGTGACCAGGGTTGACTCTTTTTGCCAATCAGAATCAACTTTAATAAATCCAAATAAGGTTTTCAAGAATGAACAACAATATAGACAACTACATTTTTCATACTCTGTTCTTTGTTTTTAACAGGAAATGGGTCGTCATGATGATTTGTGGTCGTTGTTTTATATGCTGGTAGAGTTTACCGTTGGACAATTACCATGGCGTAAGATAAAAGATAAGGTAAGGCAAATGTATCACGCTCTCATCAACCAGTGACTATGAGCATAATGGGACTGAATTGAAGCAATTAACCCTTGCTGTGCTCAGTCTTAAGAGCTTTGTGTAAAATATTTAGGGCCTTCAGAGTGTTCTTGTTGTTAATAGTGTGTGTGTAATGTGCCTGATGAACAGGAGCAGGTGGGACAGATTAAAGAACGCTACGAGCACAGGATGCTGTTGAAACACATGCCTGCAGAGTTTCATATCTTTTATGATCATGTGCTGGATTTGGATTATTTCACCAAACCTGATTATCAGGTAAAGCAATACATACATCTCTTATCTTCTTCTGATTTCACTACCTCATTTCTAATATAAATGAGTTTTTCTTTGCGTTTGGCGTTATTATGTTCCAAGAACAGCAGTTGGATGATGTAAACAGTGTAAAGTGCATATTGTGTTTTTTTGGTAATCAGAGGTAAAATTGCAGTAATTTTAGTTAAAATAAATGCTGTTTTTTTAATCAAGTAATCCTGCAAAATGCTTTATGCATCAACAACAAATGAATGAATAAATGAACGAATGAACATTTTAAGTTGAAATATTGACTCACCATTATATTTTAAATTGTTTTCAGCTATTTTTAAAATGTGATTATTTGCTATTGAATAATTGCTGTCTTGATGAACATAGGCGACTTAAAAAAAAGTCAACATTTTGAATTGCTATATACATACAGTTGAAGTCAGAATTATTAGCCCCCTTTGAATTTTTTTTTTTTTTTTATATATATGCCAAATGATGTTTAACAGAGCAGGGAAATTTTTACAGTATGTCTGATAATATTTATTCTTCTGGATAAAGTCTTATTTGTTTTATTTCGGCTAGAATAAAAGCATTTTTAAATTTTTTAAACATCATTTTAGGGACAAAACTATTAGCCTCTTTAAGCTAAATTTTTTATAAAAAATCTACAGAACAAACTACTGTTATACAATAACTTGCCTAATTACCCTAACCTAGCTAGTTAACCTAATTACCCAATTAAGCCTTTAAATGTCACTTTAAGCTGTATAGAAGTACCTTGAAAATAATCTAGGAAAATATTATTTACTGTCATCATGGCAAAGACAAAATAAATCAGATATTAGAAATGAGTTATTAAAACTATTATGTTTAAAAATGTGTTGAAAAAATATTCTCTCTGTTAAACAGAAATTGTGGAAAAAATAAACAAGCGGTCTAATAATTCAGGGGGGCTAATAATTCTGACTTCAACTGTATGTTAAATATGCATTTACATTAACATACTGTACAGTATAGTATAAGGGGCATTCTTCAACTACGGCACTTTTAGCCTTGTGAAAAAACTTGTTTAAAATTAACGTAGCATAGCCTCATAAGTTTAAACAATTTGTCTAGTTTTAAGAGCTGTAAGAGGACAAACTTAGATGAGTAGAGAAACATTTGTTCCTTCTTGAACTGAACAAATGTCAATTCCACTACATCTCAATATACAGCTTTTACTTCAAAATGAAATAAATTATAGCAGTTAAACATTGTCTAAGATAATTTTTGTATCTAGTTTAACCAATCTTTCTGCAATATATATTTATATTGTTCTCCTCGTGTTTGCGTGGGTTTCCTCCGGGTGCTTCAGTTTCCCCCACAGTATTGGGTTGAATTAGATTAACTAAATTGGCCATAGTGTATGTATGTATGTGTGTGTGTTCGAATGTGAGAGTGTATGGGTATTTCCTAGTACTGGATTGTGACTGAAAGGGCATCCTAGGTGTAAAACATATGCTGGAATAGTTGTCAGTTCATTCCGCTGTGGTGACCCCTGATAAATAAGGGACCTAGCTGAAGGAAAATTTATGTATACTAAGTTTATGATGCTTTTATTAATGGTTTTAATTTCAATTTTCTCCTTCCTCTGGTCTAGTTGCTGATGTCAGTATTTGAGAACAGCATGAAAGACAGGGTGATAACTGAAAACGAGCCGTATGACTGGGAAAAATCTGGAACAGATACGGCACTCCCTACCAGCACACACACACCACCACAGCAAAACACAAGGCAAACTGCTGCCATTGTGGGGTATGTTTCTCGAGAGGATCACACTTGAGTGGAATTCTAAAATGAAACTAGATTGATTGTTTTGTCCTCTGAAATGGCCCTGAATTGTCTCTCTCAGGGTGGTAAATGTGACTCCAGTACCCGGTGAACTACCAAGGGAAAACACTGATGATGTTCTGCAAGATGAACACCTGAGTGACCAAGAGAATGCTCCACCTGCTTTAATACCCAGCAGGCCGAGCGAACCGGCTCCAGCCGCACCTGCAGGTGAAGCATGGGATGAAACTGACTTCAATAGAAACCAACTCAGGATCAGCATCAGTAAGGTATTATTTGTCATTCTTCAATGTCAAATAATTTAATCAGATCTGGGGAGGATCTTTAGAATTATTAAAGGATTAGTTCACTTTCAAAATAAATATCGGTAACACTTTATTTTGATGGTCCATTTGAGTATTAGTAAACTGTCTGCTTAATATCTGTTGCTCCTTCAACAGACATTTAACTGACTAGAAGAAACTTTGCAAGTACATGTCTATAAGGGCCTTGCCTAGGAAACGATCTGTCATTTTCTTTAAAAGAAATGTAAAAAAAAATTAAATATATACTTTTTAACCACAAAGCTCAGAGGTGTGCACCTACAAATTTATGCATTGTGTATTCTCACTGAAAGATCAAGTGTGACATACAGAAGTAATGAGTTAGAGTCTAGTACTGTGGAGAAGGAAGAGTGCTCAGAAGTTGTAGCATGTGGAATTACACAAATGAATATGACTTTGTGTCAGTTTATTATTTAAAATGGTCCTTTCTTGTGCTTTAAACACACTGGGTCAGATAAGAAGTTTCCCATCATGAATCATATAGTCTTTGTTGCTGCACTGAGACTGCATTTTGAGAGTTCAAAGCATTTAGAGAGTTTCATAGAAGTCTACTCAATTTCTTTAATGACTTAAGATACAATTATATGAACATCTTAAATGAAAAAGGGGTGAGATTTATCATGAAATGTGTATTTTGGGAGTGAACTAAATACTTTTAAGTTTTTAATACTGTTTTTCTTCTTAGACACAAGTAGCAGCAGAGGATGGAGATGAGCCTGCTGGAGGAGGGAGGTCTGTTTCTCCAGCCAGGGGTGGGGAAGGTGATGCTCAGGCTCGTCCTCCAAGGTACCGGAGAGTCAACAGCCCTGAATCAGAGCGTTTGTCTGGTGCAGAGGATAGAGGAGATGGTGCAGATAAACGGTGAGGAGAGCGAGAGCTTTAAAATGGATCACTCTGTTCCTCTGGCTGACATTTAGCTATTTTAAAGGTCACTCGACTGCATGTGTCTTGTTAGTGAGAAAATTCTCAATAGTGGCTTTTTTAAAGAAAGAAAGCATGTAAAGTTTTTGCTTTGACAGTTGTATGATTATAATAATCAGATCAAAGTTACTAAAAATAGATATTATGATTTTAAATGAAATAAACATTGATATTAGGATTTTAAATGTAATAAAAGTTTTTAACAGTTTCTAAACTAATTGTTATATTGATTTATAATCCTGTGCATTTCAGCTAATTGTTCCAAACAACAACTTTTGAACACATTTAAGATTACAGTATTGTATCTGACTTAATCGTAAACATTGCTGAATTACAATTGTACTATTGGTATTTTACTGTTATTGTAATTAACACATGCTGAGCTGCAGTTTGTGGACAAACGTAATTGGAAAAATTGTCAGTAACATTTTTAATATGATTTTATGCTCACCAGTGCTGCACTTGTACTAAAAAATACAGTAAAACAGTAATATTGTTAATCAGAACAATTGGGAAACTCTTTATTTCAATGGTCCGTTTATTGAATTTAAGTTACATTGCATCTACATTCCAACTAATTCTCAGTAGATTATAGTAGTAGACTGTTAGGTTGGGGTTAGGGTTAGTTAGTGTAAATTGACATACTTGCTAAGCCTCTTATAGTGAATTAAATGTCTGTTAAAGGAGCATATCAACAGATATTAAGCAGACAGCCTACTAATACTCAAATGGACCATGAAAATAAAGTGTTACCAACAATTGTTTTAATTGTCTTATTTAATATACGCAAAATGTACATTTTGATGATAAGTACAATATTTTGCAGTCTTTGTCGCAGACTTCAGTTTCACACAATCATTTAAAATCATTACGAAGCATATTGAAATGTTGATGTTTGTTAAAAACAGCTTCTTCTGCTTTTTGTGGAGATCATGATACCATGAAACCCCTATTTCTTGCTCAGGGTTCTTTTTAATAAGTAGTATAAGTTCAAATTCAAAAGACAAACTTATTTCAGGGCTCCTACAGATCATGGAATTACTGGAATATTATGAAATTTTAAAAGTGAGGGAATTCTAAATATTTTTCAATATATAAGTCAAAGAATATCAGAGACTTTTGCTTTTCTCTTTTTAAATGTTAGTTTTCATTTAGCAAAGTGTAATGTCTATAACATATAATTTTTAGCACACTGTTTTGCACATTTTGCCTGTTGGTTAGGCTATTTTTCATTTTATTCCTTTTCCAGTCGTCAAACTGACAGTCACTTAAGTCAAATGAAATCGCCAAGCAGTACTTGTTAACAAAGGCAAACATGGCAGGAAAATGCAAATTTCAAGAGCCGTGGTTACAAATTGACCACTTCAAAGACTGGGAGTTGAACTGCGTTCTTTTGTTTCTTTTAATTTCTTGTCAAAAACGGAGGTAAATTATCCACTGTTGCGCTCATAGTGGCTATTGAATTCACAAAAAATTATAAAACTCAAGCTTGAAGAATTGTAATATGCAAAGCACAGCAACGCTCTGTTTTTCTCTTCATTATGGGACATGGAATGTTAGCTTTTTAGTCAGGTAAAGTCAAGTCAAAAAGACAGGAAAAAGTCAAGGATTTGTACACATGGCTTAGAGTAGGAACCCTTTTATATGAAATAGAAATCTTTTATAAGATTATAAATGACTTTGTTTGAATACAGCTCTGCACAGTTAACACAATTTAATGTGTCACTGCTGAAAAAAAGTATGAATAATATTCATTTTGAAATCTCTCTCTCTCTCTCTCTCTCTCTCTCTCTCTCTCTCTCTCTCTCTCTGTATATATATATATATATATATATATATATATATATATATATATATATATATATATATATAGTACTGTGCTAAAGTTTTAGGCCAACATTAAATCTGTTATTTTACTAATGGTACTATGGATATATGTGTTGCTTTACTACAAAACCAGTCATAAGAGTACATTTTTGGTCAGTTTTTTTATTGCGATTTATACAGGTTGAATAAATTATCTTTCAGTTGATGTATTCGGCTTGTTGGGATAGTAGTTAGGTTAGGTTAGAATTTGAACTATTTTGGTTTAATTGTTTAAGACGCGTGAAAGACAATGTTGGAGAGAGGTTGTTTGTCCTGGGTTGAGCTGCATTTTTACCAGTGTTGTTATGTTAGCAATATTGTCTGAATTGATGGAATTGTGAATGTTGAAAAGTACAGATACAGTTTTAATCCATTAAACCATTCCTTCTGGAAAGAACTTCAGTGGTAATAGATTTTATTTTCAGCTTAATAACAATTCACTAATTGAAGTGAAATCCTATTTAGAGACAGAAAACAGCTGATGAAACACAGACAGTCATGAAATGGCCTCCACAGTGTCCAGACTTGAATATTATAGAGGCTGTATGAGATAACCTGGACAGAAAAAGAAAGATATGACACTCTAAACCTAAAGAAGAACTTTAGAAGGTGCTAAAAAGCCTGATATTACGCAGCACATTATTTCAGAAAATGTCAGGACAATTAGAACAAAACAGTTCAAGCTGTGCTTGGTGCCAAAGGAAGCCACATTAAACATAGACTTTTGCTTGAAGAGGAAATGTTGTGCAGTTGTTGTTTTTTAGTACATTTTCCTCTATTTTCTGTTTGTTTTTAATAAAGAGAAGAATTGATTATATATTGTGCAAAAGTCTTAGGCCAACAAAGCTGGTACAGTGCTTAGAACTTTTGCACATTACTGTATACATAAATAATAATATAGATTTTGTGTGTGTTTTTATCAGCTCTCGTCTGGACATGCTGGGCTCTCCATCCAGGCATGTCTACTCTTCTCAGCCTGCTCAGATGCTCTCCTTAGAGGGTGGACAGGGAGAAAGGTTGGCCGGCGGCCGTCATGATGTCTCTGCAGACGGTGACCAGGAGGCCCACAGCAATGCCTTCATACGCTCAGTCCCGCTGGCAGAGGAAGAGGACTTCGACAGCAGGGAGTGGGTGATGATCGATAAAGAAACTGAGCTGAAGGACTTCCTCCCCGGGGCAGAACCAACCACCTCAGGCACCACAGATGAGGAACCTGAGGAATTGCGGCCCCTCGAGGACCACGAGGAGAGGAGAAGGAGAGTGCATGGAGGAGCTGAGGCTGTGGTTCGACCTAAAACACAGCGAGGGATGATGATTGTAGCAGAGGAGGAGGGAGCAGGGCCGAGTCCCGGCCATTCATCCTGTCACACGCTGCCTCGTTCCTGCCCGAGAAGAAGAGAGTCGGAGCCGTTTGGACCTGATGGACCGGTAAGACAAACCTGGATGTGTATGTGTGTGTGAGCATGTGTGTTTATATGGCTCATCCTGAACTCTTTAAATGTTTGAGGATATTTGGATTCATGATAACATCATTATGAAAGCTTAAAGGGATTGTTTACCCAAAACTACAAAATAAAAAGGTTTTACTCTTTAGTCATTTACTCATGCATAAAAAACCTGTTAATAATTCCAAACCTTCTAATCAAAAGCCTTTTGTTTAACCTTTGAAAGAAAAATGAATTTGAGTCTCTATCTGATCATTATATTTGCTTAAGGCATTGTTTAATTTTATATTCACTGACGTTTTTATTCAAATGTTTCAGTACAAATTAAAATGAAAATCAATCCGATGTTTATGTTGACAAACGCTTTGTTTTTTTTTTAACTATTTTTCTTAATGCATAACAGCACAAACTAAATAAATATAGCTGTCTCATTTCAGAGGCTGCATCCTCCGAAGGATGCATTCGAAGTGCGCTGCGTCATCCGGCTCGTTGAAGGCTGTCTCATTTTAAAAAAACTCGAATGCTCCTTTAAACGCAGCCTCCAAATGCATCCTTCGTTTCCCAGGTATTGAAGGACAAAAGCGGTGGATCCTTCGCGGCCTTGATTGTCCCACGATTCATTGCGCGCTGACAACTGCAGGATGCTTTTAAAAAACAACGCAGGCTTAAATGTATGAATTTAGTTTATTTTACTTGGATATCTAAACACATATTAAAAAAAAAACAAAAAGAGTATGACATGTCTTACTAAAAATGATTTTATTGACAGTTTACATTTTTATGTGTACATGTATGGATCCAAGGACATGTATTTCCAGCTTTTATAAACCTTGTTTTGCCTTCAGATCACTTAATTAATTTTAAAATTAATTTTTTTAAAAATTAAAAAAAAATATTTTAAATAGCAGCTGTTACGGTTTAAAAGTTCTTCGGTCTTAAATCTTTTTCAAAATGTCTCAATTTTCCTTTGTTGGCCAGATTGAAATGAACAATCACCAACAATCCATCGCAAAAAAACTTTAAATGTTTTATTTAAATATTTAATTGTTAACTTTTTACCATATTGCTTTAATTGTTTTCGTTATGATAACATTTGTTTAAGTTCTCCATGTTTTTACTGCTGAGGATACTGACCTAACCTATATTTTTATTATCAAATTATTATTATTGTATTATTAAATGTATAAAATTATAATTTTTTTTTATAAGGCAATAAAAAATCTTTTCCGTCTGGCTTGTTCGGAAAAAAAATCCCTAGCATTTAGCCCTGTATATGTCTAAAATTTAATTCATAATGGTCTTAAAAATGTCCTAAAAGTCTTAAACTTAACTTGGTGAAACCATTGACTTCCACTGTATTTATTTTTTTCTACTATGGATGTCAATGGTTACAGGTGTTTTGAAATATCATCTTTTCTGTTTTTCATCAGAAAAAAGAAACTATTAAAGGTTTAAAACCAGTTGAGGAAGAATAAAATAGCGAGATGTTCATTGTTTTGGGTGAACTATCCCTTTAAGTTCAGTTTGAAATAGAATTATATTGCATCACTTTGTCACACCGCAGTGTTTTGTGAGTAGCTTCTTAAAGTAAACATGTGTTTTACTTTAATTCATTTTAGTTCTGTAATGTGACATGTCTGCTTAAGATATCCAAAAAATTAAAATCCTGAGGATTCATTTGGAAAAATATTTACATTTGGTTTTCTGATTTCATGTTGACTTTAAAAGCTTTTTAGCAAAAGGCTTTTAAGTACCAGCATGTCTGATCTATGTCTGTAAACTGGCATAGATTGAATTGTTGTGCAATTGTTATATTTAAATGACTGAATTATTGTTTCTGTGGGCTTGTTCCATCTATGTGAATAAAAACATAGATGATATTTTCTTTTGAGTTAAAATTAGTAAATGGAATGGGTCTTAATACACTACTGTTTGAATATTTGGGGTCAGTAAGTTTTTGCTATTTAGAAATTGAAGAAGAATTGTTAAGCAATATATAACTACTTCAGCAAAAATTAAGTAGTATTAAATTAAGATCATTAAGGAAATATTTTGCATGAATAATAATTTCATTTGAATGAAATTCTATAGAATACAAAAAAAAGATGTTTTCAATGTTCAATTTTCTTGACACATGGCAGAAAATTAGGCTTAATAGGCTTTACCTCCTGCGTTGGTTCGGTTGCATTTAGAGAATAACGTCTTTATTCCGGGATTACCACACTCATAAGAAGTAAATCGTATCCCAAAGCATTGACTGGGGAACTGGTGATTTCTACTGGGGCACGTGCCCCAGTAAATTGGGTCTAGTGACACCCCTGATAGTAAGAAATATCTCTTGAGTATAAAATCAGCATATTGGCTTGATTTATGAGTGATCATGTGACACTGAAAACAGGTAGACAGGTAAAATTTAGACAGGTAACGGTGACATAGGCGAGTATAACAAAAGCATGTGCATCTTCTGTGACCTTAACATCTATCCCACCTCAGATTTTAATTGCAGGTCATATATTAACATTCATTTAGTTGATAGCTTTTGTAATATCTGTGTATATAGGTTGTGCTTAAGCCAGAAGTATTATGATATACTAGTATTTACTCCATGCTGCTGAATATTTGTACATCAGTTCAAGTAATACTTCTAAGTTTCCGTCAACTTGTATTAGCATATATGTTTTTGTATGTGAGGGAATGTATGCACCATTGATACAGTACATTAAGTAATCTTGTGTATTTATTGCTGAATTGCATGGTTTAGGGTTCTATGTTTGTGTATGTGTGTATGTGTGTGTGTGTGTGTGTGTGTGTGTCAAGCTCAACAATTCACAGCCAAGCTTAGTTTGCTTTTCGCTCATTCAAGGGTCTGTGTGTACACGTTGGCTCCTTCACAACATGTAGATCATACATTCACCCAGTTAAGCGTAAGCTTTAACAAGCCTGTCTCTAGCACTCAGACAGATGTGGGTTGGTCTTGTCCTCTAAAACAGTCACAGCACATCTATGTGTTTGCACCACCCATTTGATATACTGTATCGTTTATCTCCTGTTTTTATTGGTGTGTTTTTGTGTGTGCATCACACACAGTCTTAGTCAAAAAAACACGCTTTTTTTCAATACATCGCGATTTAGTTTTTTCTCAGCCTGATTCCTCTTTTCCTCCGCTCTTATTGGTCTTTTTCAGTTGGAGGAGGACAGGCCACACCCACATCACTCATTCCCGAGGCCCGCCCATTTGAGAAGACTGGCGTCGTATGTGTTTTCCTCCACTACCATGGACACGGAGCCCTTCCCCCATGACCCCGCCCTTGGGGGAGCGGCCATTCAGCGCAGTCGCTCAGCTGAAAGCAGCCCCGCCCACCGCCATGCCCATCGCAGACATGCCCTGTTGCCAGGCAACCCCAGAGCCCGGCATTCTGTACTAAACCTACCACGCCTACACATTCAGCAAGTGCTGGCAAAACTTATGAACAAGACATGATTCGCCCACCATCAATGTACACTGACGCACACGTGCGGTGGCGTTTTAATAGAAGGGGAGCACGCGTGCCCACTTTTGTGCCCATGGATGAACGAAGTTCGATACAGAAGCTTGGGCAATAAACTTGGTCTGTGATTGTGAGATAAGTGGAGTGTGAGTGTGTGTCCGTGTGTGTGTGTAAGCAATATTTGCAGAGTTATTATAGTATCATTGAGTTAGAATGTTGAACATTTAATTTTAGTTTGATTATTTTAATACATTTGATTATTAAACTTATTAAGTATTAACTTAATGTATTACGTTAAACTAAATAATAAATGAGATGCATTTCCTTGGGGTCTAGCAGAATAATATAATGTTATATTATATTATATTATATTATATTATATTATATTATATTATATTATATTATATTATATTATATTATATTATATTATATTATATTATATTATATTATATATTCTTAAGTAAGCATTTATTTTAAGAAGCAAAATATTTCAGTTCTATGATTTATTTTAGTGATCTATAATAACCCTGGGATAGATGTTAAACTGGATTCTAAACTGGAATTTGTTATTAGAAATCTAAATTAAAAAGGATATTTCACTCAAAAATGTCTATTCTGTCATCATTTACTCAATGTAATGATGCTTCAATTTGCTTGACTTTCGTGGCAAAAAAAAAAAAAGATATTTTGCAAAATGTTTGTTTTTTTCCATTAAAGTCAAAGTTGTTTTTGACTACATTAACTTTGACTAAAGCTTTGTTCAAAATAGCTTTTTTTATCATTTACAGAGTAAAGAAAGTAAAATTTTAGTGCAAAATGGTGACATTATTGTCATTTTTGAGTGAACTATCCCTTTAAGCACTTGAGACCGATGGGGAAAGAAATGAGTTTTCTCCTAAACAAAGCAATTCTGTACAATGCTGTAAGATGTATTTACTCATAAAGACATAGTACACTGCAGTTTTTTGTATAAAAAAACTAGAAATACAAAAAACACATTTTTACCTCTTTAGAGGATGTTTCATGTAAAGCTGCTGGTGTCTATTGGGACAGGCACATTGTCTAAAGTGACGAGAATATCATTATATTTGTGTTGCTTTGATTCTCATGAACGCCGTCATATTCTGTGTAAAAAGACGGATGTAAAGCAGGCTGGACAGTGTGATTAGGTTTTCAGGGTTGAATGTCATTGAATTACAATGAATGTTGGCCAAAAGCAGATGGGTAAAATGGTGTGTCCGCCTGAGGTTCACAGAGGACATTAGAAGGACAGTGAGTGCTTGCTATGCTATTTTTTGCACAGTCTGTTCGCATCAATATGATCTCAGCACATATAGAACCTGTCAAACTCCACAACATGCACCTCCAGGTGGGATGAATGGCTTTCTTAAGCAAGCATGACAGAATGTGAATCTCTTTATATACATTCTTATAGGCGTCTATCTTAGCCGAGAGAAAGCTTATACAAGCTCACAAGGTTTAAACCTGAAAAATGTGTGTTTATCCATATAGAAAAGTAAAATAGTGAACAGAGTGTTAGGTCTATGCTTAAAGGCATAGTTCACCCAAAAATGACAATTTGCTGTTAACTTAGGCCTCAATTTATCCAAGATATGTTTGTTTTGCCTGTATTTCTTTTTTTTTTTTCTTTAAAGAAACTTTGATTTGCGTTTCAAGACCACGTTTCGGCTAAAAAACTTTTTAAACTACCTCAGGTTTTTTATTTTGTACTTTTTGCCGTGGTCCACTTATAATATAATCAATATTTGTATATCAAAATGCATCATAATTTAGAAGTAATTGACTATTTTCTGTACTGTTTTTGACCCTGATCATCAGAATGCTCTGTTTGAATGGGCGTGGCTGATTGTAGATGCAGATGTAAAAGCTCACTGCAGTGATTGGCTGACAGTTTTGCATATAAAACAGGGATATGCAGGCAGTGAGGTAGCAGTAAACTTCAATCTTCTGCGGAGGCGGGGCTTATCCTCCCTATTACATCACAGAGTAGAACAATTCAGAACTTGTGGTTTTGTAAGACTGGCTTTAATATAAACAAATTTTAGAGGAACCATAAAGTGTTGAGTTCTGAATCTTACAGAATGTTTTTTTTAGTAATATGACCTATTACCTGTCAAAACCACAAGGGAGTTTTGGCTTTTCACTTCATGACCCCTCTATTGTATTACTGAAAACAAATGTAATCTTAAATGTCTTACATGATCTGGTGGTCAGAAAATGAACACATTTTTGGGTGGACTGTCCCTTTAAATGTTGTGCCTGGCTAAAATTACGTGGACGTACATTCCTTTTTAACGAATTCGGCTGTTTCAGCTGGATCCTATAGATTAATTATTATTTTACATCTGTCTTCCATATTAGCTATAAAAATATATATAAAGATGATTACAGAAACATATGCATATTGTTTTTAGACAGAGTGAAATTAAGATCTGTTTGAACTTAAGCTGTTTTTATCTGAGGGCATGCAAGACATAAAAATGGGATCCTTTATGTCATGATATTTGACTAACAGTGGGTAGAAAAGAACAAAGTTCTGGAATAGACATCTATTAAATATTAAAGTGCAATAGAGCTCAAGGCAATAGGGGTGTGAAAGGAAGACTGAGCCTCTTTCTTTGGTTTTGTCACACATGCATTGGTTCGATGCACATATGCAGATATTTGACTTGACTATAATCTATCATTCAGCAAATGAATGTGCCATTTTTGTTCCTGTCCATCGACTTGACATGCTACTTCAACGTTTGAAGTCATAGCAGTCACATAAAACAGTACATAAGCTTTAGTATGCAGAAACGCAGCATTGGTGTCATAGAAATTCGTTTGCACGTTGTGTCTTAACCATGCACAGCGTATTAGACTTGCTGGCTGCCTCATTTTTATTTCTGGTCCAAAACTCTGCTTTACATAACTGTACTGTTGTTGACATCCTATGCTTAGTACTTTAGCATTTTATTTGTAATTTTAGTTTTATTCATAGTCGATTTCTCTGTGGTTTATTAGTTTTTGGATAGGCATGTTAGTTTTGCCTGGCAAAGACACAATGTTAGATATTTACTGTAAAACAAAGTAGCATTAACACTTTGAAATCAGTTTAGCTAAGATATATGTGTATCTTTTGGGAGGAAAACAAAAATATTGATTGCTTGTTTGTTTGTGGTTTAATGTTTCACTTGAAATCCATGCTTTAAAAATGCTCTATGCTGGAAATCAATGCATATGCGAACCATTTTGCTAAAGAGTTTATTCTTCTTAAACTATAATTTGCCTCGCTGGACCAACTGCAATACATTCTGAAAATACAAATACAAAATACCTTCATTTCATATTGGTTTTGAACCAGGTGTTCATAGCAGTTGGTTCTTGGCATATGTGCTGCTTTGGGTGTTTCAATGCAATTTACACCAACCACTGTATTTCTGGGCTCACCGGTGTACTGTAATGTGTATATGTGCAGAAGTGTTTTGTCTGTGTGAGATAGCTGATCCAAATGTCTTCCTAATAGAGAAGATGAGCACAGACTGAATGACATATGTGTATAGAGATGAAAGAACTTGGAAACTGGGTTTTTGTTGGTAATGCAAGATAATAGTGGTAAGCAAATGCATTTTTTGTGTGATCCAAAGATGTTTAAATAACTGAGGCCGTGTCTCATACACTACCATTCAAAAGTTCGGGTCTGTGATATTTTATAATGTTTTAGAAGTAAGTCTATATGCTCCAAGACAGAATTTATTTGATCAAAATACACTTTAACTTGTGAAATAATATTCAAATTTAAAATAACTTTTATATTTTAGTATATGCTAAAGTGTGTGATGTTTTTCTGTGATGGCACAGCTGAATAACTTCAGCCTTCAGTGTCACACGATTCTCAAAAAATAATTTTAATATGTTGATTTGGTGCTCAAGAAACATTTCTCATTTTATAAGTGTTGAAAATGGTGTTTAATATTTTCGTAGGAACTGATGACTCATTTTGTTTAGACTTTTTTTGATGAATAATCATAAAAAAAACAGCATTTAATTGAAACTGAAGAATTTTATAACATTTACAAATGAAACTTTTCATCAATTTAATGAATCCTCCCTGAAAAAAATACATTACTTCCCAAAAATAAAAAAAAACAAAGAAATATCACAAACTTTTGAAAGGTAGTGATCCTGATCAGGCCTATAATTATTCGCCAGAAAATGTATTGTTTCTGCGCTTTTAAAAATGTATAAAATGTTCTCAAGATGGGATAATAACATGTATAGATCGTTTAAGGAATGTTTTCTCTGATTTAGTGAAAGACTGTAAATAATGTTGTCCAATACTTTTGAATCACAACGATGTTTCATATAGAACCATATTTCATGCTAAAGTCATTACTCATTCAAGCCAAATGGCTTATCATTGCAGTCCCGTTTCATGCCATTCAACATTCATAACCTCTCACATTCTCTGTCTCTAACTGGGTCAAACCCGAGCTTGTCTAAACTCCACAGAGACGACCCTTGAGCTCTGAGCAGCTTATAACAGCGTTTAGCATTTGTATAGAAAAGCGTCAAATTGTATTCTTTTATCTATTTAATAATACAGTATATTCAGAAAAGCCTAAAACCGTGTAAATGGCTTCTCACAGACCAGTATTGTTATGAATCGATTTTAACCTTTTCTGAGTCAAAATTTTTACCATATGCTGAAATTTGTATTGAATAAAAGTTATTCATAAGCTGATCCCAGACCTGCCCATTGAAGTAAATCAGGGTCAGCCTTCAACAGCCTTCGTGTCTTTCACAAAATAGCTAACTAGTGCAATAAATAAAATAGGGACTGTATAGTAGACTTGTAATATATACAAGCATGCGTTTTAGGCTTTTGTAATATCATAACTCTTTAGACAGATAGCTGAACATGCTGCTGTACTAACACATTCCTCTGTTCCATTCGCCCTGTGTGTGTCCACCGCTGTACATACTGTTGGCTGAGCACTGTCTTTGAGTTTACACTTGAAATCACAAATGGGCTAAATCGTTAAAAAACATATAGAGAGAGAAATCTACACTGTAAAATGGACTTTTGTGCCTTTTTAACCATGTATGTCATTCTAAAAAGACAATCCTGCAAAGCTTGTATACAACCAAATCACAAGTAAATAATCTGAAAAATGACTAAAGAGTGGTGTGTTGTCTCACAGTGTGGTCCACAGTGTTTATTTCACATTTGAGAAGTCCTGTTGGGCAGCCTTAAAAAGGTTTTTTTCTGATTGCTGAGGTTGTTTAGTATGAGAAAAGCAGATACTTGGTTAAATATGAATGAATGGAAATGAATGGAAAAATCTTGTAACAATCTGTAGTTTTCTGAAACGGTTGACTCAAAGTGAGTTTATTAGCAGTGTGTTATCAAAGTCTGTTTAAATGCTGTGGTTAAAAATGCAGTTGTGAATGTGCTGGTTCAGCTGAAGGAGAAATGGCTTGAAAGAAATGAGGTGGAATATAATCAAGGACAGGTTGATATCTCTGGAGACATTAGACATACAGAGTGTTGTGTTTTGATGTGTACACGTTAAATTAATTTGGTATTATACTATATACTGTGCTTTTTCTTCTTGTTATTTTTTATTATTAATAATAATAATTCCATACATGTATATAGCACTTTTATGGACACTCAAAGAACTTTGCAAATTTTTTGGTGGGAAATCTCCTCATCCCCCACCAGTGTGCAGCATCCGCCTGGATGAAGCGATGGCAGCCATATTGCGCCAGACATCAGGCCACACACCAGCTAATTGGGGGAGAGGAAACAGAGTGACAGCCAATTATAATATGGGGATGGTTAGCAGGCCATGATGGACAGAGCCCAGTGGGCAAATTTAGTTTTTATTGACCAGAGAGAGTCAGGACATCAATTATGCATCTCATCCAAAAGACGGCGTTCACTGAACAGTATAGAGTCCCCATTAATATACATAAGGACCCACACAGATCACAGATTGTGCACCCCCTTGCTGGTCTCACTAACAACACTTCTGGCAGCAACCTAGCTATCCCATGTGGTCTCTGCTTAGCTTCAGTGGGCGACCATGTGACAGTTGCAGAGAGCTAGCTGCCGGCAAGATGCTTGGCAGACTTTAGGTGCTTGAAAAAGAATTGTTTCATTTCCAGAATGAAAGTTTCCCTACAATCGACTCATCTGTTTCTTCTGTCTAAAAGAAATTAAGGTTTTTGAGGAAAGCATGCAGGTTTTTTTTCATATAGTGGACTTCTATGTTGGTTAGTGGTATGAACGTTCAAATTGCAGTTTCAACACAGCTTCAGAGATATCTACATGTTTCCAGCCAAGTAATAAGTGTCTTACCTAATTCAATGATTTAGTCATGTGGTCCACTATATGGAGCAGGGGTTCCCAAACTTTTCAGCTCACGACCCCCAAAATAACAATGCCAGTGACTCGCAACTCCCAAATTTCTCGGAGGTGGTTATAAATCTACAAACATTGCACACATAACAATAGGCCTATATAAACACAAGTATATTGACAACACAAAAAAGTGCATCAGTATAAGAACCATATCGTTTTTATAGTCATTTATTTATGTTTAATTTAGTGTTGACCTCAGCTAAAGAAACTGTTGGACACAATGTTTTCAGCACAAGTCTGTTCCTGGTGTATTATCGGAGACCACCACTCAGAGATCATTCTCAAAGTTCAGTTGTGGCTTGTATTTATTTGTAATGTATTTAATTGCCATAAAGGTGTCAGAAAGTTTAACCTAGTGCTATAAAATCAATTTGCTGCAGCTGACGCTATTGCTGTGTTGTTAATCTAACGTAAACACACCAGTCCTATGAAAAAAAAATTGTAAAAGATCGGACAACAAAATTTTATTCGCCTGTTGTTTTTATGTAACTATTCACTACTATTTTATATCTTCTGTGGATTATGGAAAAAATATGGTAATTCTAATAATTTTATTTAAAAAATTTTGACTTTTAAAAATCACCAAAATCACCAAGCGACCCCCTGTCATTGTCCCTAACTTTGGAAACTACTCATATGGAGAAGAAAACTGTATGTTTTACCAAAAAATGTGTTTTGAAGGAAGAACGAAATTAACATGTTAAATGACAAGGGAAGAGTAAATGATCTGGAAATCATTAATAAAGGAGGGAACTGATCCTTTCAATGCCAGACAACTTTTTCAACATGACTCCACTGAGTTTTTTTTTTTTCTTGCATTGTTACAGGACATCGCCGTGGCTGAACCTTCGCCTTCGTTCTCTCAGACGCGTATGAAGCGAGTGGACTTTGTGTCTGGTGTTTTGATGTTTGATGATCTGAGAGAGGAGGTTGTGAAGACTGGAGGTTCAGGAAGTGATGGGAGCCCACGCAGTAGTGAGGGAAGCCCGGAAGGGGCAGCGTCCACCCTACTCGCCCCTGCACATCGAGACCATGACCAGGAAGAGGGCTCACGCACACTGGTGCTTGTGTCTGCCGGTAACGGACAAGTTTCACCTGGGGATGGGCAGGGAACGCTTGCTGCTTTGACACCGCAGGGAGAGCGACCTGTGCCAGAAGAATCTGAACCTGGCACTCTTTCCTCTGTCATTAAATCAGAGCCCAGGCCTATCGTCATGACAACTGCGGCTGTGATCACCAGTGGTTCTTCCTCGCCACCTTTTACTAAAGTGGAGCGCACTTTCATCCACATCGCTGAGACGTCACATCTTAATGTCATGACAGCCAGACACCGTCCGTCTGGATTCGATGAGCCGATATCTGTTGAGCGTGAGGAAATGGGGGAAGAGAAAGAGGATCGGGCAGGGCAACTAGTGGAGATAGAGAGGAATAGTGAAGGGATTAAGGTGGAAAGGGAAGGGGATGAGAAGAAAAAGGAAGAAAGTGAAGCTGAGAAGGAAAAGCAGGAAGTAGAAAATGTAATTATTAGTAGCAGAGAGGAAGCAGAGACTGTGTTTTTAGCTGAGCAGCCAGTGTCTATAGCTATTAAAGAAAATATTTCAATAGAAACCAAATTAGATGACGAACAAGATGGTGTCACAACAGAGAAAGAACAGGAGCAAGAAGAGAGTCCATCTGTGTCCCCTGAACAAAACAGAGATGCTGAAGTAGAGGATGAGAAGGATGTGTCTCCACCAGAGGTGGAGTCACCTGATAGAAAGCCACTCCCACAAAGGCGGAGCCGTATTCCTGTGCTCATGTCAGAGGATGAAACGGGCTCAGACAAGTCATCGCAGACGAGTCAAGAGCAGTTGCAACGAACTCGCAAAAGCAGACACCAACAGTTGGCCCGTCTGGTTCTGGAGCGTAAACAAACGCATATGATGCGCTCTCGTTCTGCCTCCTCACACTCCCCAACACTCTCCACCACTGCATCTGAGGATGAAGCCCACCAATCTGATGACTCCGCTAAAGGAGCGGATGGGAAAATTAAGAGCAGGATCCCTCGGCCAGTCACGCCTATCAGGGGGTCTTACGACCTGTTAAAGTGCACGACTCTACCGCAAACCCAGAGATCTGTGTCTTTTATTCAATACAGGTGGGTGGAGCAGAAAATTATTTGGTACTCATCAAAATTTTGAACATTTGTTTGAATTTATGTTTCTCATGAGTCTTAATTTGAAAACAATTTGAAATATATTTTCTTTAAGAGCAAATGTATAATGATTTCTTGCCATTCCTTTTAAATGCAACTTATACTTCAAAATTTACATGTATATTTTAATGGTCACCATTCATACTTTGTGCATACATTTTGCACATATTAATTGATAATTTTTTGGAGATATAAGTTTTTCCACAAAATGCCAGCAATTCTTCACAGATAACAATTAACAATAGATGCCTACATGTACATTAGATTAGTCAGTACTGAAGCCAAATCTGGAGCTTATCTAACAAAAGAACGATAAAAAACTACTAAACCTAAATTTAAATGTTATTCAAAAATATTAAAAACAAATTTTAAAAAGGGGAAAAATCAAGAGAAGCAAAAAATGTAAAAATTTAGTTGAAATTTTGTAGGTTCTAATTTTTTTTTTTGCAATATTTTGCTTGAATTTTTTTCTTTCAATTACTAAATATATTTGGTGACAAATATTATTTTAATATACTTATCTGTTTAATAAATTCATTTTGTTTAAATGCATCAAAATACGTGGCCTATATCCACTGAAAGATGGATAAAAACATTCATTTTCAAAATAGGGTATACTCAATTATACTGAGCACTGTACTTATATATGTGATAATAATACCCCATGAGCTGTTATAATGCACATACTGTATGTCAACCGCTTTGCAAGTAGTGTTGGGTGCAACGCATTGCAAGTAACGCTTTTTATGTAATAATATTACTTTTCTAAGTAACATGTAAAGTAATGGATTACATTTAAAAAATAAGTAATAATATTTGAGTTACTTATTTCACAATGTAATGCAAGTTACCTTTTAGTTTCATTAATTAGCTTTTAAAAAGTAAATTGCTGAATAAAAAGTAAAGTAATTACAAGGAATCACACACTTAACGAGAGAATGTGTTCAGTAGTTTGAACACATTGAAGAAAAGGTAAAAGGGATTGTCTTAATGGACAGTCATTTTACTTGAGACAAAATTACAAAATTAAGGCAAAAGTACAAAAGTAGCAAACACGTTGCTTTTAAACTTTCAATAATCTGTACATACTGCATGTATAGCTCTGGGTTCAGGAAGTTCCTCTAATATAAAAGAAAGAAAAATAACAAGTTCTGAAAGAGATCAAGCTCAGGCAATAAAAATTAACGCAAAAGCTATGCAAAAGTAACGTGATTCATTACTTACCATAAAAAGTAACTAAGTAACTCAACTAGTTACTTTTTTTTTTAGAGAATAACTCAATATTGTAATGCATTACTTTTAAAAGTAACTTCCCCCAATAATGTTTGCAAGCACATCAAATGTAGTATACTTGGAAAGACTTATGAACGTGAACCGCCTGTTATCTAGGCTTGCATGTAAAAAGTATACAATGGTACATTGGGCTTTAATGTAGAGATCTGCTTGAGACAAAATTTTTAATCCCGTTCCCTCCAGGTTTTAGTCCGAACTGACCTCTTCCACTTATATTCAGCATTTGTTGTCCCGCTGTCTGACCCGCCCCGCTTTCTACCC